CGAAGGGAGTTTACCCCCCCCCCCTCCCCAACGTACTGGAATTTATATAGGAAATATATACTTTTGACAGTGTCTCCCCCATCCCCCCCCCCCGGAAATTTTAGTCCCGTCCCCGTCCCCCCCCCCCCCCGAAAATTTCCAGTGCACCCCCGGTGAAAAAAGTCTGGAAGAAACACTGATTTTAGGTTTATCGTGATCTTATTTTCTTAATAATAACATCAAATAAAAAACAGTCGTTGTTGGAAAAATTTGAACGATAAATATTTCCAAAACTTTTTCTTTTTAAATTGTGCCGTGTTCGCATTTTTTATAAACGCCTATGACAAAACGTTAATATTTGGTAAGGATCAAATTTGAATGAGTTATTGGTTTATTTTTCAGATCCTCAACTGTAATTTGCTAAAGGAAATTAGTACGGTCTTGTGGTGTTGTTGGTAATGGCGAAGTGATTGTGGTGGGGGGGGGGGGACACTTGAGCTGTGAGGACAATGTTGGGAGTGGGGAAATACATGATAGGTGTGGAGACACTGGTTACACAGAAATACATAATACATGGCCGCAGTGGGATTAGCGAGGTCGGGTGTTACCCGGTGCGGCACTTAATGGTGTCACCCCCCAGAGGCGTAGCGACCCTTCCCGGGGACAAACTTTCAAGCTTTCGATTTGCACCCCCCCCCCCCCCACTCAAACTTTCGATTTGCACCCCCCCCCCCCACTCAAGTTTTTCTCTAAATATTTTGCTATTTTTTGCCTTGGTGTCACCCCCCTAAATGGTGTCACCCGGTGCAGTCCGCACCCCTCGCCGCCCCGCCCCCCTCGCTACGCCCTGCATGGCGGTCAGTATAAACACAAAGTATATTTAGAGCTGCTCAGAGATGTTCACTGTTGACTAGTACATAAAAATGTCCACAAGAGAGCAAACGGACGGCTATCAGTGAATTTTATGTGAACACTTTGACAACTTAACACACTAAACTCAGCGTTTCTTGCGGGCTTTTTTTCTCCGGGAGTGAAAGGGGGGGGGGGGGGCATTTATAGTTTTGGCGGGGTGGATTTAAACTTCCGGACAGGTACACTGGTTAAAAAGTGTATACTTCTATGTAATTATATTTTTTTTTCTATTTCGTTCGAGGTGGCGGTGGACGATTTTCAATGTGAGTGTGGGGTGGGAGGGGGTGGGGGTGGAGATGCCTGACAGATACACTGACAACACTTTTATGTCACAAATTCACAACCATCAGCAGGCGCAGGAGTAAAAAAAAATAAATACAAAAAAAAACTTTATAGTAAAAATTGTTTTAATGCACTGAAATTGAGAAAATAAAACTAATTTGCTTTCATTAATAAAAGATTTTATCTCACTTAAATATGTAAAAGATCTCTTGAGCGACTTAAGTTTTTATTAAAGAAAGTGAATTCACTTTTTTTTAAATTTTCAGTATATTTAAGTCTTTTTTAAATAGATTTTTTTTTTATATATTGGATCTATCTTTAGTCTGTTTTATCTAAAAATGCGACCAATGGTTTTTTTTACAGACATTTTACAGCCCAGGAATTTTCGGGGGAAGGGAGAAGAGGCCTAAAAAACATTTTCGGGGGAGGGGGTGGACACTGGAAAATGTTTATATTTTCTATATAAATTCTATTTCGTTCAAAGGGGTGGTAGAGTTGCCTGAAAGCTCTGAATGCGACCTTTGTCAAGTTTGAGCTTAGGTGCAAAGTTTAGGGTATCACTACAACTATAATTTGTATGAATGTAACTACGTATACATCAAGGTAACCAGATAAACTATTGTGACAATGTTTACATATAACGTCTTGACGCTAAATTCAATGGCTTCATTGATTGTTGAATAAACAAAATAGAATTAAGAATCGAATGCCGAAAACGATACAATTTAATTATCACGTCATTGATAATAGAGAGAAAACAACCTGGAGTGATCTCTGTTATGATGCATGTTTGACTAGGGAAATTGGTGCGCATGATTGATGGTGCGGCCGTATATTGAACGAGTGAATGTATGACGCGGTACGAAAGATAGTGACGTTTTAAGGTAGAGAGTTGGTTGCTATGAGTTTATATGTGAGGAAGTCTAATCTTGATCGTCGGTATGAAAGGACGTGTACTGGTCCGTATGCCTCAAGTTGGGAGATGGATAGATGTATATGTATGAATAAAGTATTGGGCTTGGAATATTGAGTTTGCCTTATCTCTGAGCGCCAGTGTTTCTTCCAGACTTTTTTCTCCGGGGGGGGGGGGGGGGGGGAGGGCACTTGAAATTTTCGGGGGGCGGTAGACTTTCTTCGGGGGGGGGGGGGGGGCGGACACTGTTAAAAGTGTATATTTTCTATATAAATTATATAAATTTCATTTCGTTCGGGTGGGGCGGTAAAAAAATTTCGGGGGGGGGGGGGGGGGCTTCGCCTCCCCGAAGAGATGCCTGGAAGAAACTCTGCTGAGAGCCGTATGTTGGACTGAACGTAAGATAGCCTTATTGGTTACCAAGGTTAGAATTTCTCTCCCTGGTATTGGAGATGAATTAAATGGTAATTGGCCGAGTCAAGTGATTCAAACCCTCACTGCACAGCCTAAGCGTAACAATCTCCCCTAAACTTTCTCGAATATTCTTATAGAACACAACGAGATATGGCAACTCGAGATATAGACAGATTTTTAATCCATTTTCAATTACTTTAACTTTTTAAAATAAAATAGAATGTCGTAGAAATAAACCGGGAGTGATCTCCCCTAAACTTTCTCGAATATTCTTGTATAAAACAACAGGGGGTGGCAACTCGGGCCTATATATAACTAGGCATACTGCCTAGCTTCGCTTAGGTTTTTAAAAAACATTTGAGAATTTGAATACTTAATTATTTAGCGATGGATTGGGTGTGGAGTGCTTTAATTTAAACAGTAACGCTAACTTTAGAAAAAATGTTTTTGTTTGTCATTTAAATTCCGTTCTCAGAGTAATATTGGAAAGTACGCAATCTATAACTAAAATGGAATTAGAACTACACAGGTTCCATGAACAGTATATCTCATAGTTTATATTACATTGCCTTTTGAAATTTATTTGATTATTTAATTAGGATACGTAACTGAATTAACAACTTAATTTTGTACTAAAACAAATGCTATACTTCGTCATTTTCTGTTTCTGTTTAAAATAGTATACAATTATTTGAAAAATAATAATTTTAAAAACGTTACCTCCCATGAAAACTGAACGTATGACGTATGTCTTTGTTTACTTTTTTTTACAAACAGTTGCTGTGCTTATATAAGAAATTACGGTATATGAACATATTTAACGACTATAATGGCTGTTTCCGACGGGAATATTTTTTTTTTGTTACTCTCCAGGGTTGGTCTACGACGTCATATTATATTAAGGGGATCGTTCGTCAATTTATTTATATATATATATATATATCATATAAGGAGAACTTCACTCACGATCATCTTTTAGCCCTCGTCGAGGGCTTTGAGTCTGACCAACAGTTTTTCCATATGGCATAGTTATCTATAGTAGTGTATGCAAAAACTTAGCATGGTGTACAGACGTTAAGTAACCTGAAAATTGTGCTAAAATTTCCCTGTTTTTGCCATAAAATACAAAGATTATATAGGGAAATACGACTGGTCAGTTTTGACCCATTTCCCGATTTTACCAGGACATGGCGAGTTTTTTGTGACACCCCAAGGCCTTCCTCTACCTCCTCACAAAATTTCAAGGGGGGTCGTCGGAGGAAAAAAAATTTCGTAATAGAGCTCATATAAAGATACTTTCTCTCGCGGTCACTTTTTAGCCCTCGTCTAGGGCTTTGAGTGAAACCGACAGTTTTCCCTAAATGTCAAGCCATTTACCAATGTGTATGCAAAAAATTAGCCAGATATACTGAGTTTAAGTACCCTAAAGTCTGCGTTGAAATGACCCTCTGTTTTTCCCATAAAATACAAAGATTATATAGGGAAATACAACTGGTCAGTTTTGACCCCTTTACGAAGTTTTCCCAGATATGCCGAGTTTTTTGTGACACCCCAAGGCGTTCTCCTACCACCTCACAAAATATCAAGGGGGGTCGTCGGAGGAAATTGTTTTTCGTAATAGAGCTCATATAAAGAGAATTTCACTGGCGGTCACATTTTAGCCCTCGTCGAGGGCTTTGCGTGAAACCGACAGTTTTCCCTAAATGTCAAGCCATTTACCTAAGAGTATGCAACAAATTAGCCAGATATACTGAGTTTAAGTACCCTAAAGTCTGCGTTGAAATGACCCTATGTTTTTCTCATAAAATACAAAGATTATATAAGGAAATATAACTGGTCAGTTTTGACCCCTTTACGAAGTTTTCCCAGATATGCCGAGTTTTTTGTGACACCCCAAGGCGTTCTCCAACCACCTCACAAAATTTCAAGGGGGGTCGTCGGAGGAATTTTTTTTTCGTAATATAGCCCATATAAGTCGCCGGTCAGTCGAGGTCAGCTTTGACCCCCTGTCCGTAGACTTTTCGGCAAACCGTCACCGACCCTCGTGTTCTATCGCCCCAAGGCACCATCGTGCCAAATTTGACGCGCAGCGCCGGGAAGTGCCCTATCGGGCACCTGACCATTTAGCTTTATATATATAGATAGATACGATTAGTTGGTAATAGACAGCCTACAGTGTTAGGATATGGAAAGCCTAACTTGTGCATAGGTTTATTTGCGAGAGCAAAGCCAATTTAGTGCACAATAATTGACTTCAACCAAACTCTGATTAAAATTTTGTCCATACAATACCCAGCGTAATCAAAATGTCGATCAGCAGAACAGTAAAGTTAGCATACACCGGCTGACTGATGAAAACTACATAATATTATTGTCCATGTCTAGCTTAACCCGTTTAATCTTAGCTTCAGCCCATAATGTTTTGCTTCAAGTGAATTGCTTAACTTTTTGCGATAAAGTTCATGAAGTCGATTTGCTGTTTTATGTGAAACGAGATAAATAGCCCGTTGAGGGAGATATACAACTGGCGCCAGGCTGATAGTGTTGTCTCTTTTCTCTAAACAAAAACCAAAATCACCACCTCGGCTTCTAATTTAACCGCAAACGAAAAATATAATTGAAACGGATTTTAATCCAGAATCGGCATTTTAACCGGATTTAAGCTTGATCTACACGTAGTAACTGCACATTGGTACTAAGTATAGTCGTAGTCATACCCCTAAACATTGCACCCCTAAACAGGACTAAAGTCGCATTTAGAGTTTCTTTCAGGCGACTCTATGGGGGGGGGGGGGGGGGGCGGAGTTGAGGGTAAGGGATTTGGGTGTCGGGTTCCGCTCACACCACCCAACCCGAAACAACGTCTTCCGTACCCTCTAACGAAATAGAATTTATATAGAAAATATGCTTTTACCAGTGTCTGACCCCCCTCCGAAAATTTCAAGTAACCTCCGGGGAGGAATAAGACTGAAAGAAACACTGAACGCATTTGTAGATCATACAGATTTAAGGTAGAGCCTACTTCTTCTATAATAAAGACACGTTTCATACATTTGGCCGCTAAACCTCAATTATGTTACTTTCCGACTTTTTTCTCCAAGGGAGGGGGCCTCTATACATTTGGGAGAAGGGGGGGGGGGTGCGGATTAAATTATTCTGGTGGAGATGGTCTTTACGCAAACCACTTTTAAGATTAGACAAAATTGGCTTATTTTAATTCATTGTTTACGCGAGAATCAATGACGTCATATTGTGTACTTTCCCGGCTTGACTCTTTCCTACTATATGCTCCTTGTGACTACACCAGTAGCGTACGCAGGGGTGGAGCAGGGGAGCGGCCGCTCCCCCTCGGGCCATTTTCAGCAAAGTGGCGCCTTTTTGGAAACTTTTTAAACTCAAAGTTTTAAACATTGATTTTTGTTAAAAATTATTTTTAGTCGGCACATCTCTGTAAATCACAAGATTCATTTTCATGCAGCAATTAAGCATAGTAGTAATAGACTAGTAGAGTCGACGTTCACAGCACGTATTAGCAGCTGCATCAGTTTCTCAATCTAAAAATAACCATTACGATGCATTGCAATGTTTAAAAAACCTCTAAGGGCCCCTTGGCAAGATTAGTGTTAAGTTTAAATTTAAGGCACCTGTATAATGTATTTGTTTAGAATAATTGAATTAGAAAATGCTACACATAAAACTTCACACATAATTACTTTATATATACATGAACCCCTGTGTAAAATAATTATTTTTATAATACCACTGCTACTTATTTAAATCTATTTTTGAATCAGTATACATGTGTAATTGAATATGTATGTTTAGAACAGTCGTCTAAAAAATGACGCTAAGTTATCCTCCCCCCCCCCCCCCACCTCACCACCACAATTGTGTAGAGTGACATTAATGTCACACCTAGGTATACGCTGGGTTGGATAATTGACCTAAAGTGACTGGACAGTGGTGAATGTAGTTGAACCCCCCCCCCCCCCCCCCACCCACCCCCAACCCTCCCCAAACGAATCTGTTAAGTACATTTGGGAAAACGCGTAATGATGTACCAAAGTACCATGCCACCAGAAAATTAGCTTTTGAAACTGGTAAAACTCTGTAAATATTGTTTTTGCAATTACCAGTAAAATGGTGTGTGAACAATACAGTGATCTAACCCATACCTTATCATTATGTTTTAAAAAAAATGATTTTTAAAGAACACAAAAAGTCGCTAGCTAACTTTACCATGTATGATCTGAAATGCAAGACCTATATATTGGTTATCTGTAGGTTATTTATCCGAATTTTATACATGTAAGTCGAAAAGCTGGGTTTTATACCAACTCTGATTTAAAAAACTTTCATTATTCTGTAATACTTTAGCATTTATAATGACAATATATATAATTCTGATTGTAGACAAAATATTTTTGTAAAACCGAATAGCGTTAAGCTACTTTATTAGATTATTGAGTAATTATTGAGTTGTTTTGATATTCATAATTAAATGTGTACACATCATATACATATTTATATTAAAATAGTGATTATTTCCCCTTTTCGCTCGTCTTAATAAATGTCCCAGAAATTATTATGTAATTTTTTTTACAAGGATTACAAAACAGATTATTTTGCGTTCATTGTTTTTGGTTGTAGTGTGTGTATATTTTTGTTTTGTTTAGAGTGATACATTTTTTTTGTTTTGTCAGCCTACATTTTTTGTTTTCTCGGCCTACAATGTGTATGTTTTTTTGTATTTCTTCAGAGTGCTACTTTCAGTTTATTTTACATCATAGCGAAGCAACAACATACAGCTAATATATATATATATATATATATATATATATATATATATATATATATATATATATGTATATATATATATATATATATATATATATATATATATATATATATATATATATATATATATATATATATATATATATGTATATAGAATATATTACAAATTCGGCGCCTTTTTTTGCTATTTTCGCTCCCCCTACACTGAAAACCTGGATACGCCTCTGGACTACACGTTTCGTTTTTCATATTACTATGCATGTTATTACTTTCCTTGTTTTCTCTATATTATCCCCAGTAGATAGATACACAGACAGCGAAACTATTATTATAGATGGTAGCCATGGCGATAAAGTTCATGAAGCCGATTTTCTGTTTTATGTGAAATGGTTGCAATGTCTGCATTCGATTGTATTGTTTTTTTTTTTGTTTTTTTTTTTGGCGTTCGTTTGAATATAAAATGTCTAGACATTCAGAAATAGACCACAAGTGGCGGGGCTTAACTTTTTGCAATAATAGCGTGGCTGTTACTGTTAGCGTCAACGATCTCAATAAACCTTAAGTGATGGTGCACCAATAACAGTGTTAGTGTTTAAAAAATGTTTTCAAATTTTCAGTTTTATCTGTTTGCAGCTGCTAAATATAATTTCTTTTCCTGCAGAATTTTTAAGACACTTAATAAAAAATTAGTTATCATCAATGAATAATATACTGGATTATGTAGATCTTCTCTCAAACAAATTAACAATGCCATTCCATTTTATTATGTTATTTATTAAGTAGAGCTGCTCTCAAGGTCACTAAGCCACTTTCATGCCAGACAAAATCTTTGTTCTTCCTTTACTTCCTGTGTATTTTTCAACAGCAACACTTTTTTAAATATCACTGTATTAGTTGAATCATAATGAAACTGGATTTATTCAACAGCAGAGGCATTTTAATTAGTTTTTAATCTCACTATTATCATATTATTATATTTTAAAAATGGTTTTTTAACTTAAAAAAAAATAAAATAAATAAACTGAAAGTAGTAAAAGTGATAGAATATGCGAAAAAGATGTATCAAAAATTCAATTCTCGCTTCTATCTGTATTTTCAAAATCTTGAACTTGCAAAACTTTAATGTGTGTAAAAAAAAAAGAAATATAGTTTAGGTGTATATGGGTCCATCCAAATGTACCAATCATAGTACATCTGCATACATACGACTGTAAAGGTTCAGTAACATAATTTAAAATCCAAATTTTGATATCACTAGTACAATTTTATTGTCAAAGTTTCGAACAAAATATTTTTTTTCCCATCTAATCCAGATTGGTTATCATTATAACAATAAATTCTGGAAGAAGAATAAATCCATTTAGCTAGGCTTGGCATAAATCACAGCATCCGTTTGGGTCAGGCCTGCTCATAATTTTCAGTTTTCATGTCATTGAGTCCCAGCTCTTCGTTCTGTTCCCAGGTGCGGGTGTATCTTGTGATGGTCAGCTGGGGGTCAGGGTCCGGCGCACAGAGACTCTGGTGTAGGGTAAAACAATTTGATTTTTTTAAAATTTATAATAACACATGAAACAAATTTTTTTAGCAAAACAATATATTAATGGTTGCTTTTCAGTAAACAGTGGTTCCCTGAGGTATGAATTTTATTTGTTCAGTAACCTATCAGTGCTATTTTCTCACTGAAATTAAGTTGCCATTAATTAATTAATCCATTGCAGCCATTTGCAAAGTGCTACCTCAGTTTTTTTTGTCTTTTTTTGGTGAGTGTTTTTATTAAGAAAAATGTATTAATAAATGGCAAATGCATTAAAAAAGCATAATAAAACAGCATGTAAAGGAATAAACTAGTTTTATAAAGAGTATTGTACTTTGGAAATAAGACAACTTAAGCGTTAAAAAGATGCTGGTGGTGGTGTAGAGGGGGGAAGAGATAGGCAGAGAAGATTCACTTTGTTTACTCATTTTCTACCCTCTTAGTGCTGCACTTTATCCTTAAACTCAATGGAACACTGAAAATAATTTTGTTACTTTTGCTTAATTTTCATTACTGCTCTTCACTGATCTATGCCATTTGAGCCATGCTCTACTCACTTTCACAATCAGATTGTATAAAACAAAACCAGTTAAGGAGGTTTTTTCCTTCTCCCTTTCAGAATATTGAGGAAATGAGCTAGGCTAGTATCATTAAATAGCTCTGATGCACAACCAGTTACAATTGTGTCCATGAACCAGGGGTGCCAATTTGGGTTCCCAGAAAGAAGCGCAATGGAAAAAAGCGTAACGGAAAAAAGTGCAAACGGAAAAAAAGCGCAAACGGAAAAAAGCGCAAACGGAAAAAAACGAAAACAGACAAAAGTGCAGACATATATAGCGCAAACAGAAAAAAGCGCAACCAGAAAAAACAACGAAAAATGTGCAAAAGAGAAATTTAGCACAGAGACCTATGTGGACTAGGTGACACATTTATACATGACTGTTAGGGCTGCTGTGAGAGTGTCGTGTTTGACCACGTGATCTACTACCATTTAAAGCATACCACTATGTGCATTCCCATCACCACGATACAGGCGATAATCGCTTTACACAATGCCTATTATTTTCTTGGTCAATAATTATTCAACTACTATTCTCGTATAAATAAACATAAAACTATCCTTGATATCGACATTACACAAAGTATTTCTCACATTCTCCCTTGTCCAAACTGGCCATCTTGAATACCATAACAACAAGTTCCTATGGCAAAACTTCACTCTCTTTCAAACATGCATTCATCATATCTCTCCCACCAAAATACCCTGATAAAACACACATCATAACAATGATGTATTTAATATTATTTCATCATGACACACCTACCTACCTGCCTGCCTAACTTCCTGCCTACCCACCTACCTAATTACCAGATTATATATATATATATATATATATATATATATATATATATATATATATATATATGTATATATGTATATATGTAAGTATGTGTGTATGTGTGTGCGTGTATGTGCGTGTATGTGCATGTATGTGTGTGTATATGTGTGTATGTGTGTGTATGTACGTGTATGTACGTGTATGTACGTATGTGTATGTCTGTGTATGTGTATGTATGTGTATGTATGTGTATGTATATATATGTGTGTGAATATATATGTGTATATATATGTGCGTATATATATGTGCATATATATATATATGTGTGCGTATATATGTGCGTATATATATGTGCGTACATATATATGTGTATATTTATATATGTTTATATAAATATGTGTATATATGTGTGTATATATACACATGTGTGTATATACATGTGTATATACATGTGTATATATGTGTATATATATGTGTGTATATATATGTGTGTATATATATGTGTGTATATATATGTGTGTATATATATGTGTGTATATATATGTGTGTATATATATGTGTGTATATATATGTGTGTATATATGTGTGTATATATGTGTGTGTTTATATATGTGTGTGTTTATATATGTGTGTGTTTATATATGTGTGTATATATATGTGTGTATATATATGTGTGTATATATATGTGTGTATATATATGTGTGTATATATATGTGTGTATATATATGTGTGTATATATATGTGTGTGTATATATATGTGTGTGTATATATGTGTGTGTATATATGTGTGGATATATATGTGTGGATATATATGTGTGGATATATATGTGTATATATATGTATATATATATATGTGTATATATATATGTATGTGTATATATATGTATGTGTATATATATGTATGTGTATATATATGTATGTGTATATATATATGTATGCATATATATATGTATGCATATATATATATATATATATATATATATATATATATATATATATATGTATATATATATCGTTTTGACGTGTGTTTAAACAAGGAGGATTGGTGTGAACGAATATTGGTGTGAAAGTTAATGACGCATTGAATAGTTACGCGGTTCGAAAGAATGTGACGTTTTAGTGTAGGTTCGTTGTTGACGGGGGAAGATGTTAAAAATTACTCTTGTTCTTGTTGTGTTAAAGTGATGTCGTAATGTAGTCCAGTCTTAGTTTGTTCGTTCAGGTCGTCCTTTGTAATGCAATAAATAGTAAAATTAAATAATTTCATCCTGTCGAATCATTTGTATACCTTGGTGTCGTTGTACTTTGGGATGAACTACTGAATGGCTAGACAGAATATAATGGTAGTGTAGACCCTCTCACTTTATAGTTGCAGGACAAATAGCCCCAGTTATAACATATATATATATAAATATATATATATGGGTAGGTGGGTAAGTGGGTGGGTATGTTGTTAGGTGGGTATGTGGGTAGATGTGTGGGTGGGTAGTTAGGTAGGTGGTTGGGTATTTGTGTAGATGATATAGATTATGCCCATTTCCATTTTGCTAACTTAGTAACAGTGTTACAAAATTCGAAATTTCAAACTGGTTTGGCGTAAGGTTAGTTCATTGATCCTATTGAGCCCTACATTACATAGTTAATCAGTTTAACAATGTAGATACCATTGGAGTAGGTGTAAGTCAAAGCCAGATGTTATTATAAAACTTCATCTCTCTTTGTTTCTTTATAAAAAGGTTATGGAAGGTTTTTTAAGGTCTTTTACTGAAATGTTTACCAGACGAATACAAAATGATATAAACAATCATAGCTCTTCTGTCAGACTTTTCTCCGGTGGGGGGTGGGGGGGTCAACATTTTTTGGGGGGTGGGGGGGCGGACACTAGTTAAAGTGTATGTTTACTTTGTAAATTCCATTTCATGATTACGTGCGGAGCGCAGGGGGGGGGGGGGGGGGTAAAAGAGATGCCTGGAAGAGAAACTCTGGCTACATGCTGCCCATTATGCTGTTCAGTACATGTTTTGGTTGGGGTTAGGATTGTTACATATAAGTATTCGCATAGATTTAGAGTAGCGTCCCTTTTGTTTACATGTTTCCATCATGCTTCAAACAATAGTCTATTTTAGTTATATTGAGATTAAAGAATGTAAATAAATAGTACACACAATTCTGTAGAATAGGAACGATTGGGAGGGAAGTGACATATAGCGCAGGAAGTTTAGAGGTTATGTAGGGTATAATAAATGGTGGGGTTAGGAAAGTTAGGGGGTCCATTCTCTAATAGGCAGTCTATGTCTCTTTTGTACTTTCGTGTTGGTTTATTGTCGACCCTGTCCTCACCTCACATCACAACAGTTGGGTGACGCTTACCGTGTAATGTTAAAATAAATAACATGTAATTGAGTTAGTTCGAAGTGAGTTTTCATACAAGCCCAATGCACTAATTAAGGTTGTCACAAAATGTAACATATATGTAACATATGTCAATGATGTCAATGAATTTTCATTAAAAAAAAGATGTCTAGTGCAGTTTACGAAACTAACGAACTTCGCAGATACTTTTTAGGTGGGTAGGTAGGTAAGTGGGTAGGTAGGTGGGTAGGTAGGTGGGTGGGTAAGTGGGTAGGTAGGTAGGTGGGTAAGTGGGTAGGAAGGTAGGTAGGTAGGTGCGTCATGATGTGAAGTAATATTAAATACATAATTGTTATTTTGGTGCGAATGAATGTTGGTGCGAGAGATATGATGAATGCATGTTTGATGACGCGGATGAAAGAGAGTGAAGTTTTGTCATAGGAACAGGTTGTTATAGTATGCAAGCTACGTAGTTCGGATTAGGAGAATGTGAGAGATACTTCGTGTAATGTCGATATCAAGGATAGTTTTATGTTTATTTATACGAGAATAGTAGTTGAATAATTATTGACCAAGAAAATAATAGGCATTGTGTAAAGCGATTATCGCCTATATCGTGGTGATGGGAATGCACATGGTAGTGGTATGCTTTAAATGGTAGTAGATCACATGATCAAACACGACACTCTCACAGCAGCCCTTACAGTCATGTATAAATGTGTCATCTAGTCCATATAGGTCTTTGTGCTAAATTTCTCTTTTGCACATTTTTCGTTGTTTTTTCTGGTTGTGCATTTTTCTGTTTGCGCTTTTTTGCCGTTTGCACTTTTTTCTGTTTGCGCTTTCTTCTGTGTGCGCTTTTTCTTTGTGCGCTTTTTCTGATTGCGCTTTTTCTGTTTGCACTTTTTCTGTTTTCGCTTTTTTCCGTTTGCACTTTTTTTTGTTTGTGCTTTTTTTCCGTTGCGCCAATTTGTACCATTTTGCCAGTAATTTCACGATTTTGACACCTATCTTAAGGAATTATGATTGATTATGCCTGAATACATGGTCATGATAAAAATCAAAATGGCCGTTAAGAAAATTAGTGGATTTTTTTTTAAAACAATTTTCTTTTGGTAACTTTCAGTTCCTGGTCTGAGTCTTATATTTGACAACAACATAATTTTTTGGTATTTCTTATTTAAATGCATCTTCTGTAACAATGCCTACTAACTCTCTTCCCATCCAATGTCGTGAAGGGCGGGAGTTGTGAACTCGCATTGACCCCGCGAATGTGCAGTGGGCATTAAACAATTTTAAAAATCTTCATCATTGACTGACTGATATCAAATGGCCAACATCGGTTAAACCAAGATCTACTCTATTTCACAAAAAGTAGCCATGAAATGATAAACTATGCCAGGGAATTTTTCTTTTTTAATTTATGCCGTAAAATACAAAAATTGTTAAGAATTTTGCTGTCTTTTTAGTGGTTTTAGTCATGAAATAATAAACTATGCCAGTGTAATTTAAAAAAAAAAAAATTATTATGAGGTTAAGTAAAATATTGTTAAGAATTTGGCTGCGACTTGTTAGAAGAAACTTAGGTGAATCACTGTACTCTATAGATATTTTCTCTAAATTAGCAGAGATTATAGATTGTATTTCTGTTCTGTAATAAAAAATATTACCCTTGATTTTGTTAGTAGAAACAACTTTTAAAAAGTTAAATTTTTTATCTTAAAAAAATATTCATTTACCTGAATGTAACTGTTGCCTGAAGCGTCATCCAGTACAAAATGGACACCTGTCCTTTTGCCTTGTACAATCTAAAAATAAATAATAATATTAAATACACAAAATTGCTGGCTGCCTACTTGACGTTACTGGCAGATAAGCAGACTGTGAGGGCACATAACTGTAATGGTATATGCCAGGTACCCAACAGGCCAGCCTAAGTCCGGTACTACGATGTGACCAAGATTTCAAACGTCAGGCTATGTGGTTATCAAATCATGTGCTTAAACAATCATCATAGATACGTTTTGCTGGATGGTCTCTAAAACATTTCAGGAGGGAGAACACTGAGTGAACCCTGCCTAGACAAAACACCAACAGTACTGGCAGTTGATTCTAGAACACTGCCTAGACACAACACCCACACTACTAGCAGTGAACCCTGCCCTAGACAACACCCACACTACTAGCAGTGAACCCTGCCTAGACACAACACCCACATACTAGCAGTGAACCCTGCCCTAGACAACACCCACACTACTAGCAGTGAACCCTGCCTAGACACAACACCCACATACTAGCAGTGAACTCTGCCTAGACAAAACACCTACACTACTAGCAGTGAACCCTGCCCTAGACACAACACCCACAATACTAGCAGTGAACCCTGCCTAGACACAACACCCACATTACTAGCAGTGAACCCTGCCTAGACAAAACACCTACACTACTAGCAGTGAACCCTGCCCTAGACACAACACCCACAATACTAGCAGTGAACCCTGCCCTAGACAAAACACCCACACTACTAGCATTGAACCCTGCCCTAGACAAAACACCCACACTACAAGCAGTGAACCCTGCCCTAGACAAAACACCCACACTACTAGCATTGAACCCTGCCTAGACAAACACCCACACTACAAGCAGTGAACCCTGCCCTAGACAAAACACCCACACTACTAGCAGTGAGCCCTGTTCTAAACACCCACACTACTAGCAGTGAACCCTGTCTAGACACAACAACCACACTACAAGCAGTTGATTATGTCAAAATTATGAATAGACAAATTCGAAATAGCCACCAGACAATCCTGATTAATAACCGGACAGACTTCTCTCCCCCCCCCCCCCCAACCTTTAGACCCTTGTGCTTACTTTACTTAATGCTTAGACTTTACTAAGTGCATTGTGTGTTAGTAATTTCAAACAGAAATTCAAACCTAAACCACAGCATTATCGACATCAAAGGGTTAATTACAGACTTAGCTGCATTAAAAACTAGTCTTAGCTAATTACCTCATCAATCTTCTCACAGAAATCTGACAACTGCTCACACATCTGTGGCTGAGATGAATCACCTCGAAAGAAGGGATTAAAATCCTTGAGCTGAAGATAAGAAAATCATGATAAGAGTAAGGTAAAATATAAGGTACAAATGGTAGAGCTGTAGGCTGCTAGCCTGATGATCTTGAGCTCAGATCTCAGTCCCGAATATGAGCCCACCCAGTTCTAATGGGTACCTGACTCACGTTAGGGAACGTAAAAGCAACTGGGCAAAGTGCTGACCACACATTCCTGTTATGAATGGTATCTTAGGTATTGCAAGAGTATAACAGTACGTGTCTTGTGGAAAGGATTCATATTAATAGAAGATTGTGACTGTGTGACTGTGTGACGAGTTACGTATGGATGTGACGTGTGAGAGTAGGATCTTGTTACTGGGGGAAAGGATTAGATCAGCCTTCTTCATGTTGTGCCAGGGTATAGAGGTATTTGTCATCTTGAATATAGTCATCATCTTTTAAATGTGAAAGTGATTGTCCATGTGTATTAGGCCGTGCAATAAACAACGGAATAAAACAATGTGGTCCTGTCTATAGATTCACGTTGTGATACAAGGTTGACCCCGTCATCATTTTAAATCGTTACTCTACTTCATTTACTGAATGGATCATTAGGTATGAATAAAGGACTTAACTTACTTTATTTATAAAGAAAAACAACAAAATACATGGGGGGTGGGGTGTAGAAGAGACAAAATCTGCCAGATATTTGGAAATGTGCAGTGCAAAAAAAACAAAACAAAAAAAAAACAGGATGAAACGATATGAAAATGAACTATTAGAGTGAAATTGTATAACGTTTCCTCACAACAAAGAGACAAACTAATTACTTCACCTGGATAAATATTTATACTAATTCCCATATTGTCTCAATACAGTACTAAACCCTCACTGAATGAAACCCTTATCATTAACAGATCAGTTATAACAAAATTAGCACTTAACCGTCTAAAGTGTATATAAGTATACTAGCAATCGGTACCCATTTCACGTGAATTATAGGCCTATATATTTTTAAATGTTGAACTTGTTTGAGAAAAATAATTTATAAAATAGTTATTGGTCAACACCCAATGTGCATTACTACACGCTGAACGATATTACTGACAAAGCAAAGAAATAACTAATTAGCTAAAAATCCGACACATTTAACATAACACAGGCACACACTGATTAAGTGACTTAAATGATTCCGTTAAAAACTCGGCTATTCCACGGTATTCTTCTTGTTTTTAAAGTGATTTATTTTTATTAGGTTTTTATTAATAGATCTATAGATTTAAATGAAATAGTTCATTTATTCATCGGTAACCATGCCATATTAAATGCACTCGCTGATTAATGATTAAGAGACTTAAATTAAGAGACTTAAAAGATTTCTTTAAAAACCCGGCTGTTCAATGGTAGTTATGTTGTTTTAAGTAGATAGATCTGGATTCTAGTCTAAATCCAGATTTAGCATCTACGTCTAGTTTTTCCGTAGATCTAGTCTAGATCTAGAATCGAGATCTAGATCTATATCTAGAATCCAAATAGATAATATAAAAACTTATAAAAGTTTAGGCCGAGAAAATCCTATTGTATACATTTCATAGCGTACGTAAAATCTAGCTCTAAATCATATTTGAATGAAATAGTTAATTTCTTTATTTTATTCTAAACTCGGAAGATGACGTCATCAGTTTCGTGCTCTTTTTTTAGTGTAAACAATAAGCGACGTCATTGTTAAATGCGTTCTTGACCCAAGTATAAACATTTTTCCGGTTGCATAATTAAAATTGTTTTTCTACATTCGAATACGCCTTTATTTTTTATTTTTCTTCTTTAAATAAAATTGTGGTTATACATTTAAAACATCTAACATTATTTTCAACAAAAGTCCGTATAAAGTTCTTCATATATCGCTGCAGATTCTGACGTGATGTCCGGCGAAAATATTTTGCGGACAGAGAGAGAGAGAGAGAGAGAGAGAGAGAGAGAGAGAGAGAGAGAGAGAGAGAGAGAGAGAGAGAGAGAGAAGTGCACACTTGGGCTTTTATATATTAGGATAGTTACAGGGATGTGACCAGACCAGGAAAAAATTATGAAATTTTCTTCAGACAAGAACCCCTTATGTTTTATCTATTTTTATCCCATTTTAAGTTAAAGCAGTCTCACACCGTTACTGAACTAATTAATGTTTAATGAAGCTAATATTTTAAATAAAAGAGGTTTATGTTACTCTAATATAACATTGAAAGTCTGATCTAATTGCAATTTAATGTTTACCTTATAAACAACTTTTAAAATTTTTATTTTTACAATGTAACAGAAGTGGCAATTACTTTTTTTTTTACATTAAGCTAATTTAAACTGTACTAATCTAGTCTAGCTGTACTCTAGTTTTCAATTTTAAATTATACCTTATATTCTTTAAAAGATAGGCTTGGTAAAAATGTAAGTCTTCAACTGTTAAGAGTCTAGATTTAGATTAATTGTAATTTGAAAGTTTTGGTTCATGTGATGGAAAATTAAATCAAAACCAGATTAGCTGGAATTAGAAAGGGTCTGATATTTGAACCAAAATTAACCCTTTCGATATACAAGCCGCATCAGTTATTTTTGGAATAGCTGTAAATTGTTAGGGCTCATCCATAAATGATGTCACGTTTTTTTGTGTGAAGATTTTAACCACCCCTCTCGCCTCCGTCACTACGGCCTTAAATAAAATGACGCCACATCTCAGCCAACAACCGCTTCCCCCCCCCTCCCCAAAAAAAAACCCACCTGAATTTGTTTTTTTAAAATCGTTTTTTTTTCTAAAATATTGACTAATCTCGACCAACATAGGGTATTTTAATAAATCTCTATCACAATTTTAAAACAGTTTTCTAAAACACTTAAAAGTGGCTAAAATTCAGTTTCTAACCTTACTTTTTAAAAATAAAAATATGATGTCACACTATCTGAACCTCCCCTCCCCCTCATAACACACTTACAGATCCCCCTTATGAGTGTGACGTTATTTATGGAAGACCCTTTAATAAAAACAGTCTGCATCATATTTTTTCTTCAACAAACAAGACATGGTCGGAGTCACGTTGTTTTCAGTTGTTTTGTTTAATCTGTGTTTTTTATAACTATTTAATTGAAAATAGCGGAAACTTTGAACTAAAAATCTTAACCTACATTTAATCAGACCTAGCGCAATCGTTCAATTGAAAAGAAATGCTCATATTTGAGTGTCAGTTTGAAATCAGCTGAGGAAAATTGCAGTTAAAACGGAAAAATCGGAATACATCTAAAAATCGGAAAAGTCACATCCCTGATATAGTAAACATGTATTAAACGAACCCAATCACTTTATGGTTTCAGAGCAATGGGGCAGAAAGGGAGGAGTTCTAACAGTGTAAGTGATTTGGATCATGTTTTTGTTTTGGTAGTTTACAATATAACTCATATGGTCCTAGAGTCCGCCCAGCTTTGATGGATACCTAATGCTGATGAGTTACTGAGAGTATAGACGGCTGGATTTGTCCGGGAAACAGATTAAGTATACTTAATTTTCTGCCATGGACCATTTGAAAGGGTACTTGATCTTTGTGTCTTACAATACACTTTGCAAGAAAGTAACTTTTTAAAGTGAAAAACAATAGCTTGTTTTAAATACATTGATGGAACTATTGATTAAATGTTAAGCCACTTTTTGAAAGCAAATTGAGAGATAGAGCTGGACCTTCATCATCTTTTAGTGCCGTAGGGCAGATGATGTAGAGTTCATCTATTTCAATAACCTTGACACCAGGGGATAGTTAGGTCACCACTATGCCAAGCAGCCTTTGTTTCCCTACCATTCAACCTCGCAGTTCCTGGTATTGACATAAACACTAAACATTAAATCATAAATTAAAGATGCGCTCTTGAACAGACCTGAGTCTTCACGTCCAGCAGGAGACCCTCAACTGTTGTAAATTTCCCTCCCAGTGTCCCCATCTCCATCTCAAAGTCCAAGTCTGGTATACTCAGTGTGGACAATTCACTCTGTTCAATGTAGGAAAAAATGGTATTAAAACATGTACTGGTATACTCAGTGTGGACAATTCACTCTGTTCAATGTAGGAAAAAATGGTATTAAAACATGTACTGGTATACTCCGTGTGGACAATTCACTCTGCTCAATGTAGGAAAAAAACGGTATTAATATGTACTCTGGTAAATAATTCACTCTGTCCATGTCTAAAAAAGCAGAAATTTTGTACAATAGTGGAATGAGGTGGCAAATCTCTAGATATTCCCAGGCTATTTCCAGGTTTGTAAAATATTTCAAGAACATTTTGTAATAAATAACTGACATTGAGTTTAAAATAATCAGGTCTCAATCAATTGTGATAATATAAATATATCATAATATTCTGAAATCTTACACTACTTTAGTCATTTAATAACCACCTTTAATGTTGGCCGTAAATGCCTTTTAACTTGGTTAAAATCAAATATTCAATTTAATTGTGCTTGAGAGACAGCCTGAACATGACAGTGCTTGTGTGGCCAGTTGTCGTAGACACATCTCAGACCTCAAAGTCAGTACGACTAAGGCCAGAGGATGAGCGGTGGATTAGGGTTATGGAGGAGCGTAATATTGAGTTAAACGAAAAAGTATAATGACAAATGAGCATGTGGCGACACATTATCTTAAAAAAAAAAAAAACACTGCATATTCCTCTTTATTTTTGTCAAAAAAATATTTAAATGGATCAGTAGGAAAACCATCTGACTTTCTGAAAATAATTTGGTCGGCAGAAAAATGTCGGATAATTTTGTTTAGAAAAGAAAAAGCAGATTTCCATTAAAAAGCAGAAGTTACATCTCTGTCATTCAATATGCTAGTAATTAATTTTAACTTCAACATATGCCTAACCATATCTTCTGGTGTGTTTGTTAAAACCACTCACAGTGTGTTTTTTAAAACCACTCAATATGCTGGTATTTAGTCTTACCTTTAACACATCTAGCCATATCTTCTGGTGTGATTGTTAAAACCCTTCAACATGCTGGTATTTAGTCTTACCTTTAGCACATCTCTAGCCATATCTTCTGGTGTGTTTGTTAAAACCACTCAATATGCTGGTATTTAGTCTTACCTTTAACACATCTCTAGCCATATCTTCTGGTGTGTTTGTTAAAACCATTCAATATGCTGGTATTTAGTCTTACCTTTAACACATCTCTAGCCATATCTTCTGGTGTGTTGATAACCAGGTCTATCTTCTGTCCCAGCTCCTCAATCCCTCCTGAGCTTTTGACCTCATTGTCACGATGACCACACTTGCTACATGTTGTTGCCATTATGACCACTTCTTTAAAATGTGGTATATCTGAAGTTTTCACTTAAGGAAATAATTCTCTATTGAGGCAGTGCTTATTTTGATAGTTTTATTTTAAACGATGTACCATGTAATATTGAATATGAAAAAAACAAAAATGTTTGACTAAAAATAAAAGGACTAATTGGAAATCGTTGTCTTTTTGTAAATTTGGCAAAGATTCAATTAATGGCAACAAGTATTTTTTATATTATAGGAAAATTTAAAATTAAAAAAAAAATAATAACATTGCAATAGATAAAATTATATACAGCATTTGGTTCAATAGCCAAATTTTCTGTAACAAAGTCACATACAACCTTACTTTAACAGTGTTCACATTTCTATAAAGGATACTGACAAGCTTCATATGGGTATCACATGGTGACCTACAATTAGGACAGTTGGTACTGAAGGAGAGGACCTTTAAAAAATAAAAGAAAAAAAATCGCAATTGAATAATCAATTTTTAAAAGTTGAAGTTTGTATTTACATTTTTTTTTCCAGGTTCAGGCTTTTGTATGATACTTAGTTTCCACAAACAATATGTAGGAATGTTGGTACATATTTAACTTAGATCAATATATGAGGAGTCCACTTGCAAAACATGCTAAGTCACTTCAGATTGATTTTGAGGAAATCGACTTTAAAACATTTATCTTGTTAAACCGTATGATTTTTTTATGTTTAATGTTAAGAAATTTATTTTATATTATACCTTTTTGAACAAAAATTAGTATACTGCTTTAATTGCTACTTAATTAAGAGGCTAAAAGAATAACTCATGTTTTTTTGAAAAAGTACTCCTCATATGTTAGCCATATCATCGAGATTAAAATTAAATGAGCACAAAAAATTAGTAGAAGAAAAAAAAAAAAATATTAATCGGAAAAAAGATTAGAATAAAATATGTAATGATTATATTGTTTATATACTATTTTCTTACAAAATATATTTTTAAATTGTCCGTAAATAATTAATTTAAATACAAAAACATACCTCATTCTGTGTGTTGAATCCTTCACCATCGTCTTGACCCACAGTTTTCCCTTCACTGTCTTCAACTGGCTCCTCCTCCTGCTCAAGAAGGCCCAAAAATTCATCCTGCTGTCTGGTCCTTGCGTAATGTGACACTGTAAGCTCTGCGTCTTTTGTTGGAGCATATGTTCCGAACGTTAAGAAAAATATATTTAAACAGCCACGTCACTAGAGTACTAAATACATGGGTGGCGAGGGGCTGGTTTCACTCCAATGGCTATATTTGTATGCTAACATAAGCAGTTTAAATAAATTTTGGAACACTGTTTCAGATAATACAAAAGTTTACTGTGTATCACCCAGTTATATTTATATAATCCAAAGACATACATGTTAGCTAGAAGGGGTTTCTAACAATTTTTTTAAATAATTATTTTCCATTTAATTAATCTAATACAATTTTTTAATATTTTTTTATTCGCATGATAAGTGTGGAAATGTCTGAAGTTGTCAGTAGATTGTAATGATGGTACTTTTTTTCTCCAACGTTAACATAAGATCTAACCATAATTCCTAATGGGAATACCAGGAAAACCCACCTTAAATAATATTTTAACACCCTCCCTGTGTTGATAGTCAAGCATAAACATATTATGCAAACTATTGACTCTTTAAGAATGTAACGAGGCTCCCAGCAATTGACAGACTGGCCTGCCATACCATACCGTTCAATAATATTTTCTCTATTTAATTAGTTGTTTTTCAAATCCAAGTTTTTAATCATAAAGCTCCATGTGTTGATTTTGTATTTTACAGAACTTTTTTTGAAAAACCACTAACTAAACAGCATTTTTTTAACACTGCAGAATGCCATTCAGTGGCAAGCCTATTACGCTTCTGTTGCTGGGGTATAAAATTAACCAAAATTTAATTATTCTAATACTAATCAGATACATGATTTTTGTAGGAAAATGGATGTACTTTCATTTTATATGAATAAGAACTTATGAAAATTAAATCTTATCATTAATTTTTCTGACAGAAGTATATTTTTTTCCCAACAAAAGCAACTCTTTATCTTTTTTTCTTTAATTTTTAAAACTAAGTAATTATGTTTCTAAAATAAATAAATAATTACTTAAAATTAATATTAGTGTGTAGGGCATTCAATTATAGTTTATTTATATCAGTTATGTATAGGTTTTAAATCATCGGGTAAAAAGATAATTTCGTTTTGCGGCAAAAAAAAAAAATTACAGGCTTAAATATTTAAGGCAATAGAATTAAAAAGGATATGGATTCTCTAGAAAGCTGTTGCCAGATGGGTCATCTAGTACCTATAAACAGAGAAAGAATATACTATATAGATACTGAACTTGAACTGTATAATTTTAACTGTGACCCTACCTGATGAAATAATTTGCTTTGCAACTAAAGCATTTTTGACCTACAAATGGAAATTTTAGGTAGGTGAATGGATATCACTTGTGGGATTTTAGTTACTCTAATTATATATTCATATGGACACACATTTTTAAAATTAGAAAACTAATAAGCTTAGTATATGGATACAAAAATGACAAAATATTCAAAGAACCAACTGTAGGTAAAATTAGCAACATTCTGGGACCAGTGTTCAGATTCCTTACCAATTTTCCCCATTACAATCCAAGTTATAAATGCTATAGAACTGAATAAAAAACTCAAAGACGGCCGTCAGCGCCAAATGACTCAAAGCATCATGAAAGGGCCACAGTTTCAAAAATACTAACAAAAAATATTAACGTAAAAGTGTATTTATTTTTAATCAACTTTATTTTTCTGTCACGATTTTCTTCTTTACTAACAGAATCAAGGATAAGATTTTCATTAAGATCAACAATCACCTTATTTATAAGAAAAACAAGCCATCTTGGCAAGAAACACCAAGTTACCTGGCTATCTACACAAACTACTTCTACATTAAAAACTAGACGACTTACAAACTGAAATGGTTTCTCAACCAGTTTTAAGTCTTTCAACTTTCCAATAAACTCTTCAATCTTTTCTGCTACATCTGGGTGCTCAACCTTTCAAATTAAAAAGTAAAAAATATAGAATATAGAATACGCAAAACCTGTCCAGTAAACTTTTTTTTTTAAATGGGCTATCCTTACACTTACACACAGGCATGTTAATTAACAGCATTTTACAAATATTTTAGGATTAACCTTTTAGAAATAAAAAATTCTTAAAAGATTAGCTAATAGATGATATCTGGAAAATCAATCAGAAGTGATGTAGCCGATTTTGAAATATCATCCATCATAATATTGCCTAGTAACTGTTAAAATTACTTGACCATTGAGTTGGAAGTTTAGTAGTACTAAATTTTGTATTTACACTTTTGTACCAGACTCAGAATACCCATATTTAAGTATGTAAAAGTGAAGATCCCTTTCTAAACTGACGCTCCATGAGACAGGTGAAATAAAGTCCACCTGTTTCTGTGACTTCAGCATATAGAGGGACAGTATGATCAGCACTATGCCTATTGGCCTTTACTTTCCCTAACATAAATCAGGTACCACTCAAAGTATCATTTAAGTATAAGATAATTATGAATCACCAGGGACAAAGCTAAAGTAAAAAACGCTAATGTTTACCTTCCTTTGTACTTGTTGCTGCTCCAGGCCATCAATCACTTGGCTAATCACACCTTCCAATGTTGTCAAATCTAAAGGTTATACAAATATGTCTATACATTCATAATGAGTACATTTTAGGGTATTAAGACAATTACAAATTATGGTCACTGCTGCATAATCTTAAGTCTAGTGAAAATAGGAATATAGTCCACAATACAAATTAACAAAAAGAAATAAAGTATCATTTTGACGCCGGGAAATTAAAGAAGCAGAATAAGTAGTTTATTCTCTTATTCCCCCCCCCCCCTTCCCTTCAGAGCAAAAGGGCATTTTAAAACAATTGGTTCACGACCACCAGGAATTTAGTTCAAGATTAACTGGATTTTTCTCTGCAATTGAAATCTTTTTCTGTACTGGTGATGTCTGGTCCTGATCAATATTTCTACAAGCTTTTTGATTTGGCTTTGTGCTACCTTTTTACCTTACCAAAAAATTTTGGTTACTAATCTGTTGCTAATCTGCAAGTCTCAAGTTTGCTCAGGGTTCAAGTCAGTATAACAGCCCCGAGTCCGTCTAGCTCTGTTGGGTACCTAACTCACGTTAGGGAAAGCAGAGGTGGTTGGGCATAGTGCTGATCACGCTATCTCTGAAACAGATTAACTCTACTTCATCTGACCCAAGTGTCTTGGGCACAAACAGGAAAAGATGAAGCATATAGCAGGTCTTTGTACATTAATTCTGTACACGTTAAAGATTTACTGCTTGAACTTACTTGATTTTCCTGGAGCTACCTCAAAATCTAAACTTGGAATACGAATTGTAGCATATTCTGTTTTCACGACTTGTCTATTCAAATCCTAATACAGAAGTAAAACAACCAAAATTGCTTCGTATATTTTTAAATAGACAATAAATACACCATCATTATAATGAACACAAACTCTAAATAATGAAAGACTTTTTTAAAGATAAAAAAAAAACCACAATGTACACCAAATGGCATTAATTACATGAATATACATACCCGGATGTTTGTAACATTTAACTTGTATGATACACCACGATCCTGAATGCTTCCACCTGACTGTAACTCAGCATTTTTATTCCCACAGTGGTCACAACAAAAAGAGGAAACAATTACTTCTTTGTAAAATGGAATTTTGGTTAGGAAAAGACGTGTGACTCCCTGAAAATAAAAAGCAAACAAAATACATATTTTTATATAAATAAAATACTTTTGAAGATGTCTAACATTGCAGGTGAATGTATAACACAATGTTAAAGTTTAACCATCTTAAATAAAGTTAAGATTCGAACTCTGTTGTTTTTTAGAGAGCATTTTACAATTCTAAAGACAAATGAACCATTACTCAGGTGTTTGCATGGTGACAGAACACCAAGGTTGTAAAACCACTATGATCAGCTGTTTAGAAACATAAGGCAGTCTGTTTAAGTAAGTAAAGAATCCTCTTTAGACCTAGCGATTCATAGGGCAGATAAAGTAGAGATCATGTTTCTTGACTTCGGCATATGAAGGAAAGGTGTGGTCAGCACTTTCCCCAACACGAGTTAGATACCTATAAGTGCTGGGTGGACTCAGCTACTAACTTGTACCTGGATTCGAACTTGAGACTTTCAGGCTAGCAGTCTAGCTTATCTACCACCTAGGCCACACTGTCCCAGCAGTCTGTTAATTAAAATATTCTAAATTTTCATATTTTTTTTCAATTTACCTCTTGGACACCCCACAAAAAAAATCAAAATAGACTAGGATGTCTAAGGATGTTATATATTCCTGATCTTACAAATGAACCAAAATTTTTTTAAACACGATTAAATTTTATCATATCTTATTGATGTATATCAACTGCTACCTTACCTGCTCTTCACAGTTGACACAAAGGCTTTCCATTTCTGTGATTTCTGGGTCATAATCTTCAGCTGTTATATCTCTGAATAAAGGCTTGTTTAATGTGTCGCTGCTTGCTATATTTTCATTGGTTTCATACATTTTGATTCTTTAGACTTTTACTGTTTAAAGTTACCTTAGAACTGAAAAAAAAGAGAAAAGCGCATAATTAGAAAAAGGTTGAGCATCAAGTCAGCAGCAATAACAAATCATCACATCCTCTTTTCCAGTTCGTGCCCCCCCCCCCCCCCCCAAGAGATGCCTGGAAGATACTCTGTACTCTGTAGTACCTGTACACATCACCTGTGAAACAACAAAAAGGAATTAAGTCATGCACACTTTATTCTATGGCCTGATCAACGAAATAGACTGGGCTCTCCGTTTGCTTTATTTAATAGTTTAATATAAGTTAGCAGACAAGACAAATCTTTTGTTTCGACTATCAAGTAGATTCTATTCTAGATAATAGATAATCTAGTCTCTAGATCTAGAGTCTAGAATTATAATATTCTAATTATTCTTCCATTCTAGATCCACTTGAACTTGAAACTGTTGAACTTGATTATAGAAGATTAATGATAATGCAATGCCATTCTTACAAACCAGCGCTTCAAAAACATAAGAATCTTATCTAAATAATATTAAATAATAAATATCTAAGGTCTAAGATAGATCAAGACTAGAATTAAGATAAGACTGATTAAGTAGATCTAGATCTAGATCTAGTAAGTAGAATGTGTAAGTATAAGTAAAGTAGTAAACTAAATCTAGATCTCTGCTGATCTAGACTAGATCTAGATTACTAGATACTAGATTAGATCTAGTAATCTAGTACTAGATTTCTAGATCTAGATCTAGTACTCGAGTAGTTAGTAGTACAACTTACTTAGTAGATCTAGTACTAGTAGTACGTAGATTCTCTCTAGAATCTAGCTAGATCTAGTAGGCTATCTTATCTAGATTCTAGTTCTATAGAATTAAGATTTAGACTAATCTACTTCTAGATCTAAATGTTACCTTTAATTATAAATGTTGTTTAGTGATTAATAAACACACAGACAGAGAAGAATAGTAGTGGCACGCCTGTACTGTGTACTTCACAAACCTGGTACTTTCACTTACGACAGTATTTATATCGTGGCAATTTAAAAATATGGATCGTTGTTGAACATTCTAGACCAGCGGTTCCCATTGTATATTAACATGACCCGATTGTTTTGATAGGATAGGTTTAAAAAGAGACTGGAAAAATTTTCGTGTACTGTTTATATAATATATTATTATTATTATTATTTTAAAAATGTACCCTAGTAACGAACATTTTATCGAGAAATTTTAAAAATGCATCAAGTGTTCAGGAAACCTTTGGTAATGCCTACAAGCCCAGCAGAAACTAAACTGATGTTTTTTTTCTGGTGCAAGTAGCAATATATTTAAATAGTGCCCAATTTTGCGTGATATGTTTAGGCAAACATTATAAGCTTTTGGAAGCTTGATAATCTTGTGGGTTAAAATAATGTGTAATCCTCTTTTCTATTTATTTAACCAATTTATGTAGCCGAATTTTCGAGAAAATAAGAAAAAAAAATTGCACAATTTAAAGGGAAATCATGAGCTGAAATAATTTACGTGTCGTAATTCAACTCGTTTGCAATCTTACACACTTCGGGGGGGGGGGGGGGGGGGGGGGGCACTGAGGAACGACTACCCCCCCCCCCCCCCCCTTCCGAACGAAATAGAATTTATACAGAAAATATATGCTTTTACTTTTCCAGTGTTAATACCCCCCCCTGAAAATTTCAAATGCCCCCCCCCTCCCTCCCCGAGAAAAAAATACCGCTAACACAATCTAGCAAGCAGTGGTCCCAGTATGATAGGACTCGGGGATAAGGCTAGTGCACTAGGAGTGGCAATGATAGAACAACAAAAAATTAATTATATCAAATTGATATGTGACGCCGGGACGGAGTACAGAGTGTAAAATCTACCCCGTCAGTTGCGGGTCGGTTAAGCTCATGGTTGCTGAACCGATAAGTCCCAAGTTCGAACCCCCGGGCAGCTGATAGCTCGATAGCTGTGGATAGTTTGTTATTGGATGGACAAAGGCTATGGAAGCAAATCAAAAAAAAAAAAAAAAAATTAAGAACGAAGAAGAAAAAGTTGCGGGTTCGGAACCCATTTGGGATACGAGATTATCCAGGTGATTTGTCTCACATTGTCGCCTCTAGTCAAACGACCTCTATGGCTCCACAGCAGGGGCGGAACTACAATGCGGGGGGCCCACGACGTTTAGGGGCCCAATTCCGACCAAAAAAACAATAAATTTTATTTTCATAAATAATGTTTTCCGTGCACCTTGATAGTGGTTTTGTAAAAAACAAACAGGTCTACTTTAGCAGTAATTGTTCTACAGTAACTAACACACACTGTTGCGTAGAAAAATATAAAATCTACAAGAGCTGTAGTTTGAAAGATAGGCAAAGGTTACCACTACTTCCATGACTTACTGCCCTTCATCAAAACACGGGTGCCCATAAAGCTCATTTAAATAGTTTTGTACTATGTAAATTAAAGAGCCATTTATTCTCTTAATTATTATTAAAATAAGGCATATTAAAGAATCCTATAGCTATAAAAATGAATGTATTCAAAACTAATAATATAAATACAAAAAATCATAAAAATAAACATAACGCGAGAAACCATTTCAAAATCAAGCTTAAGTGTTTATATAATTTTGACCAGCCATCATTTTTGTCACAATTTTTGGCAAACATAAAGACGTAATCCAAATATTTGTAAAACACGATGCGGGCCCGAAATGAGTTCGGACTAATTATTGTCTGATTCGTTATCTCAGAGTGGTTATACATTGCAATCCTAATTTATAAAAGCCCAATGTGCGCACATCTCTCTCTCTCTCTCTCTCTCTTTCTCTGTCCGCAAAAAATTTTCGCCGGACATCACGTCAGAATCGGCAGCGATATATCGAGAATTTTTTACGGACTTTTGTTGAAAATAATATGTTAGATGTTTTAAATGTATAACCACAATTTTACTTAAAGAAGAAAAATAAAAATTTAAGGCGTATTCGAATGTAGAGAAACAGTATTATTTATGCAACCGGAAAAGCATTAATATATGTGAAAAAGAACGCATAAAACTGTGACGTCACTATTGCTTATACATTAACTATTGACGTCATCTGCCTAAATAGCGAAGATGTTAGTGTACATTAAACCACGCAGGTGGTGCGGGTTCGAGACACACCAAGTCAACTTGGTTAATGTATTTATTTTTATTATGCTCGGGCTAAACTTAAAAAAAAATTCTTTTAGGAATCTAGATCTAGATCTAGATTGTCGGGTGTCCGATAGGGCACTTCCCGGCGCCGCAGGCGCTTCAAATTTGGCAGGATCTTGCCTTGGGGCGACAGAACACGGGGGCCGGTTGGCCGAAAAGTCTACGATGAGGGGGTCAAAACTGACCTCGACTGACCGGTACCTTATATGAGCTATAAATCGAAAAAAAATGTCCACGGATTAAACCTCTTCATAACTCTTGAGGTCGTAGACCGACCCTCGGGCGAATTAATTAAGCATGCAAATTCTCAATGTTTTCGAAAGCCTAAGCGAAGCTGGGCAGCATGCCTAGTAAAATAGATTAAAATACTCAGGTAATAGACTATTTAAAATTTTGAGAAGCGGGCTACTTATATATATGTATGTATGTATGTGTATATATATATATATATATATATATATATATATATATATATATATATATATATATATATATATATATATATATATATATATATATATAGGGGGGGGGGGCCCAAAAAATTTTTTTTGCGGGGGAGCCTTTTTTTTCTAGTTCCGCCACTGCGGGTAGAGAAACATTAGGTCAAAGGTGAGAATAGGAACGGCCAGGAAATGTATATGCCGTGGCAACATAACCAAAAAAAAATTGTGTCTAAAAGTGTATTAACGATGTTCAGCAGATGCGTAGCGAGGGGCGCCAAAATGGGTTGGAAAAACAAATTAAAATCTGATTTTAGCTGCAGTTTTGCATTATAAATATAACATATATATAAGGGGGGTGCAAATTGAAAGTTTAAGGGGGGTGTGTGCAAATTGAAAGGTTGTTCTCGAGGGGGGGGGGGCGCGTTAAATTGAAAGTTTGTGCCCGGGCGCCGGGAAGGGTCGCTAGGCCTCTCATGATGTGCGCCACTGTTCACTGTGTAAGTATCAATAACTGTTGTAAATATGCCGCGCAGTCGTTTCGTAAAAAAAACAACACAACACACAAAGTATTCTGTAAGTCGATTCAGTGCACATCACACACAAAATTCATCTTGCACACAAGCTTTTGAGCAATGATGATAATATACACCTCGACATATACATACGATTACTTCAGTTCTTTAAAGCGTTTTGTTTTTGTCATGGTGGAGGGGGGGGGGGTAAGCCACAACATCACCCTTATATTTTTCAAGTTCAGACTTTAAACGTGTATTTTGTATCATAGTAATTGATCAATACAAACATATTACATTATAACCCAGCGTTGTAACGAAAAATTGGACCGCTCTCAAAATCTTAGCAGGGGTCGGAAAAGCTCATGGTAGCTTAACTGAAAAAAAGTCCCGAGTTCGAATCCCCGGCCTGATAAGGCTCGATAGCTGGGGTACAGCAACTCATTTAAGAGAGACAACTCCAAAATCAAACTGCTGCATTGTAGTTAGTTCTTGGTTGGACTATGGAAGCAGATCCAGAAAGAAAAGCGGGCTGAAGTTAGTCGAAGGAGGAAATCCATTCCAACATTACAATTAACAACGAAGAAGAAGAAGAAAAAGTCTCAGTTTAGAAACCCTTTCCTGTTCTCTAAAATATTTATGGTATAAGCCTAAAGATGAGTACCAGAGGCGTATCCAGGTTTTCGTTGTAGGGGGAGCGAAAAGAGCAAAAAAGGCGCCGAATTTTTAACACGTTCTACATAAGTGTATTATATATATATATATATATATATATATATATATATATATATATATATATATATATAATTGCTAGCTGTATGTCATTACTTCGCTATGATGTAAAATAAATTGAAAGAAGCACTCTGAATAAATAAGATAAAACACACAATGTAGGCCGACAAAACAAAAATTGTATCAAACTAAACAAAAAAATATATATACACACTACAACCAAAACCAATGAACGTAACACAATCTGTTTTGTAATTCTTGTAAAAAAATTTCTTACATAATAATTCCTGGGAAATTATTTAAGACAAGTGAAATAGGGGAAATAATCACTCTCTTAATATAAATATGTATATATCTACACATTTAATTATAAATGTCAAAACAAATAAATAATTACTTTAGAATATAATGAAATTGTTTAACAATATTCGTGTTTACAAAATGTTTTTGTCTATAATCAGAATTTAATAAATCGTCATCATAAATGCTAAAGTATTACAGCATAATGAAAGTTTTTAAAATCAGAGTTGGTATAAAACCACGCTTTTAGATTCTAAAGAAAACCATTCGGAATAAAAGCCTACATTTAACTAAAAGCGGTCTTTTAGTTCAGATCATATATTTTTAAATAACTACTGCTTCTTTGTGTTCTTTAAAGATCATTTTTAACATAGTGATAGGTAAGCGTTAGATCACTGTATTGCTCACACACCCTTTTACTGGTAATTGCAAAAACAATATTCACAGAGTTTTACGTTTAAAAAGCTAATTTTCTGGCGGCATGGTACTTTGGTACATCATTACGCGTTTTTCTACATGTACTTAATAGATCAGTTCTGGGTGGGTTGGGGGGGGGGGGTGGTTTCAACTTCATTCACCACTGTCCGGTCACTTTAGGTTAATTATCCGACCCATTGTATACCTAGGTGTGACATTAATGTCGCTCTACACAATTGTAGTGGTGAGGTGTGGGGAGGGGGGAGGAGATAACCAACTCAGAGTGAACATAGCGTCAGTTTTTAGATGACTGTTCTTCCTTCCTTCCTTATACGGAAACCGGCTCAGAAGG